GTTGAGATTCATATATCGTGTTCCGTTCGGAGAGTCGGCGACTGTAATTGGAGAAGGCGTGTTTTTTTTTTTTTTTTGCAACGCGGTTGTTTTTATTGCTCATTCGATGCATCAAATTTGGATTCATATCTATGGTGAATCTGATGTAATTGCAGAATGTGGCTTGTAATTGATTTCATATACGCGAACTATTGTTTCGTTGTTTGTGCGAACAATAGCGTACGAACTTTTTATGTTGTTATGTATGTATCCAGGAGTGTTTTTTTTTTGTGCTGAGTATGTTCAGATTTTATAGTCGTGTTATGCAGATAACACGACTATTGTTTTTGCAGTAACATGTTCGTAATTTACTTATTATTATAGTTGATTTACTTATACTCGTTTGATTATAGTCGTTTATGCAGTAAGTAATAATAGTTGTTTAATGCATATTCTATATTAACTGTGTTTTCATTTAAATATTATGTTTGTTGTAGATGGATAACAGTGTTAATATTATTGTGAAGTACGGTGGTTTGGTTGCTTTGAAGGGATCTTCTGGACTTACTTTCCAAGCATTGGTTGATTTTGTGTGTTCGAAATGGCAATGTCTGAATGCATCTAGTATAATCATGACTTATATGGTGGTTGATTGTGGAGAATGCATTATCGCGGATGATGAAGACTTGGTATCCATGTTTGCATTGATGCGCGAGTTGTCTTTGGTGCGTATAAATATCGTGGTGAAGGGTGCAGCTGACATTGTGACTCGACCGATTCAACATGTGGATGCACCAATTCGGCATTCCCACACACAGATGACTCTGCCAATGATCAGCTATGACAAAGATGTTGAGGATACAGAAGATCGTGATTTAGAAAAAGTGGATGCGGTGGTTGAGGGCAAGAAGTTGTTGAGTGCTGATTGGATTTATTTGATAAAAGATGTAGGTCAGGTTTTTGAAGGTGGTGTTGCCGATTTCAGAAAAGCGAAGTTTTCAATTGAAATGGGCTTTGAGTACGAGTATATCAAGAACGAGTCATATAGGGTGACGGCGGTGTGTAAGTACAAACATGAAAAACAATGTTGCTGGAGGATACACGCTTCCGTTGACAAATATAGCAAGTTTTGTTCTATTCGGACGTACGATAAACATCATACATGCGGTATGTTTTTTGGGACTGCGAATAAGAAGAGATTAAGTGCAGATATTATTATTGACTTGATTGCGGGTGAGATTCGATCAAGGCCAGGTACTCGACCTCGTGAAATAATTACGTAGGTGAGAGAAAAGTTTGAAGTTGACATTAGCTATTATTTAGCATGGAGATCGACTGACGCATGTAGGGCATTAATCTTTGGCGATCATAGCAACTCATATTCATTTATTCCGTCAATTTTGAAGAAGCGGAGCGGAAAAATCCTGGTAGTTTATTTCACTTGGAAATTGATGATGTGAAGAAGAATTTTCGCCGTTGTTTCTTTGCATTTGCACCTTGTATGGAGGGGTTCAGGTTCGGTCGTCCTGTTGTCATGCTTGATGGCACCTTTTTTAAGGGCAAACACAAGGGCATGTTACTTAGCACAGTCGAAAAAGATGGCGACCAACGTAAGTTGTACAGCGTATGTATTTTGGTTTTTAGAGTATAGTTGTTTTGATGATAGTTATTTTCATAAATAGTTGTCTACATAATAGTTGTTTTCATACAAACCAGTATTTAATATCATTTTTTCACATCCAGGTTTGTTTCCAATTGCATTTGCAATTGTGGATGAAGAAACCGATTGCAATTGGTCATGGTTTCTAAATCACTTGAAAGTTGCTATTGGAATGGATAGGGTTTTTACGTTTGTCTCAAATCGTAATCATGGAATTTTGGTTGGGGTTCAAAATGTGTTTCCACATTGTCTTCATGGTTACTGCTACAAGCACTTGAAGGAAAATTTGAAAGATCGATTTAGGGGTGAGTCAAAGATTTATCGTAAAGCTGTGGTGAGGCAATTTCGAGATTGCGCTTATGCTGCCACAAAACCTGAGTTTGAAATATGCTTGGAGAAATTCAAAAGAACAGGTGGTGGAAGAGCACGCAAATTTCTAGCTGATATTCCAAAGGAAAAGTGGTCGAACGCATATTTTGAGGGACCAAGGTATGGCCAGATGACGTCAAATGGTTCTGAATCTTGGAATGCGCAACTAATGGATGAACGTTTTTTGATAGTGACTAGTTTGATTGATGGTATTCGAAGTAAGATAATGGAACAACTTTGTGACAGGCTTATTAAGGGAACTAATTGGCACATTGTGTTAACATTTAAAATTGATAAAATTATGAAAGATATAGTTGATAAAGCGAGGCCTTGGTTAGTTAAGCAAGCTTTTGAATTTGTGTGGGAAATGTACTCGGATCCAACTGCGATTATAGATGTTCGGGAGAAGACATGCTCATGTAGGCAGTGGCAGGTTACGGGGCTGCCATGTTTTCATGCTGTTGGTATTATTTTTCTAAAAAAGAAGGGAAGGTATGACCTTATTGATGATAAGGTTTTTCATACTTCAGCATACAGACAAACATATGCTTCACCTATTTTCCATTTGTTAAACCTCCTCTCGACCCTGAAGCTGCTATCGTAGGACCTCTAGATTACCGTCTTCAGCGCGGCAGACCGAAAAGAAAGAGGATCTTATCTAGGGGTGAGCGTTTGCCTCGCAAGATGAAATGTACCATATGCAACATAGTTGGAAATCATAATAAGAAAACCTGCCGCATGCGGGTGGAATTTTTATAATTTTTATTTTTTAATTGTAGTTGATTTTGTATTTTATATCGACAATATTATTCGTACATTGATTTAGTAGTTTGATTAAACATGTCGAATATATGCTTTAAGTGTTTCAATTTAGAGGTTGTTGTTGACTTGTTCAATATTGTTAGTATAGTTCATTTCAGTTTGATTAGATAGATCAAATATACGTTATAGTATAGTGGAGTTCTCTTATATGCCGTTGTTTGTGCGATGTTTTCTACATATGGTGTTCAGTGTACACATTATTCAATTATTTTTTTTATACACAATAGTTGTATTCATAGTTTTTGTTCCCATGAAGTATAGATGAAGATCCGGTATAGAATACGTTCATATACAACTAACATTACCTTTTTGTAATAACATGAGAACTCTGAAAATAGTTCATTACGTAACATATAATTGTTTTCAACATCCTTTTACGTATGCCTTTACACTACAACGCACGATTGTGCTTTCAGCAACAAAAAAAACATACAACTATTAATGAACAACTATTATAAACCAAGATCAGTCAGTACATAAATTAAACATCGTCAACATAAAATACCAACTAAAACATTCTACGCAAGTTTACAGCTACATTAAACTAAAAGTTTGCTCAAAAAACAACTTCGCCCAAAAGTAATAAAACGTCAACATAAAATACCAAACAAAAAGACGATTAATGCAAGTTTACAACTACAAAAAACTAAAATAATCAAGCGTTTTTTTTACTCGAATTATTCTTTTTGCTTCCACAATCTAGAAAGGTTTTCATAATTTCAGTTCGCATTTCTGGGTATTCTGATTCAGCTTCGTCCTTTATGATTGGTTGTTGCTCAAAAAGTTTTTTAATCAGATAAAAAACCACCACACCGCAGTCAACACTATCATCTTTTTGTTGTGGCGCTTCAGCGAGGGAAATGATTTTCTCTTCTGGACATACGAGTATGAGGTTGTGATGTGCTGCTGTTTTTTCCAGGGCCTTTTTCTGAATGTGTACATTTATATAAGTTGAAGGTGTATTATATTGCAATATAAAAACAATGTGTGGTTGAAAAACTCCCAATTACATAATACGACAATCACTACTTTAATAAATCGAACATGCATAAAATCATAGCATATAAATACGAACGCAATTAATTGCGCAACGAGCTCTGATACCACTGTTGGGTTTCGGGCACGCATACGCAGCGGAAAACAAAAATTTAATGTGATTTAAACGACTTTAAAACACACAAGTACATGCCCGACAAATTAAATCAATTAATTGCGTACCTTTGCGCTTCCAGCGAAATAAAACAACAACATACATGCTAATTATTTAATCGAATTTAAACCAATTAACATGCTCGCGTTTAAACCAAATAACATGCTCGCAATGATTTAAAAACGATTTCATATAATCACATAAAATCATACGAGACAAACATGAATACATATACATAGGTTTAAACGAAACTCAAATCGAAACTAGGGTTTCGATTATTTACCTCTTGAAGCGTGAGGTAGGATCGTTTAGCACGTCGAGATTGCTACGGAAACCAATCCGTACAATCGGGGCAGCAACGGTGCAGCAGCAGCGGCGGTGAGACAGCTCACGGCGGCGCGTGAGTTTCACGCACGGACTTCCGGGGCGGCGCGTGGGGCAGCGTGCGGCTTCGGCTCGTGCGTTGCTCCTCGATTCTTCGATCTACAGTCTTCATCCTCTCGGATTTCACCTCGTATACTTCGATCTACTAAAACGTGGCACTAGACACGAAGTAGTTAGAATAAAACGGAAGAAAAAAAGAAGGAAAAACAATACCGAAACAATCGGCCAATGAATGGCCGATTCCGGTGAAGCTCCGGCGACGGCGGCGCGGTGGCCGAGGAGAGAGGGCCGCCGAGAGAGAGAGTCTGTGAGCGGCTAGGGTTAGGGTTTTGTGTTGTATGTGTGCAAGGCCTATAAATCAAGTATTTATATGTCTTGCATAAAACCCTAACGGGCTTAAGTTGGACCGGGCCCAACAGCTTAAGTCCGTTAGTACTTTCACTTGCTCGTCTCTCTTAATTCAATGACCGAAAAATTGCAACGATTACATTTTCGGAATCATTATAATTTCCTCGTCATTACGAGTGCCATCTTTCATTTTCCAACTTTCCAAAAGTGGAAACCCTAGTTCAGTGCACTTTCTAAATTTGGAAACTTCCCGATTTAGAAAGTTCACTAACACGTTCGCCTATTCTTTTCCTTTTCTTATTCTCATTCATAATTCCAAATTACGAATGTTGGACTCAATCATATTGACTTCCAATCATGCAAAGATAAACTATTTTATCTCTGACCGTTTATTCAAAGATCTCATGTGCACGAGCAGTGTGACCCTCGATGGTTCAGGTGTAAGCTAGCCGTGGGCCCACAACCCTTTGTGGTCAAAACTCGTCCCCTTCGAGTTACGATTAAGATGAAGCTCGTTTCACCTCAATCACCCAACGAATCAAGATTGGCGTCTAGCAACTACGCGTCATGATTCCCTAGATACAAATGAAGTGCCTGCAAGAACCTTCAGATATAGTTAACGTACAGTACGGTCCCTTCGATTCATATGTCCCGATCGAACTAGAGGCATTGGTTCATCGAGACCTCTTTATATGTTCGATGACGGTGCGATCGTTCTAAGTGTTGTAATCCTTACGTGCATGACTTAGAGAATCGAATTCTCTAATCATCACTTAGTCAGCTCTGGCCAGAGACTTAGAATGATTACAAACTTTCAGAACACACAGGACATCCAAGACTATTCTAGCGATCGAATCCCCGACTACAATGCACAGACCTCCCACTAGATTTCGGACTGCACGAACACTGGCCCTTGGGATGGTCCTCGGTGGAACTCAGGGACAGGTCACGATACAGTTGGTCCTCTAGTGAAGTCACGGTGATGTCTAGGTCATAAGGACTAATGGTGTACAACTATACCATAGATATCTCTACTCGATTATTGGGAACCACTTAGAGATTTCTAGGGTGAGGGAGTTCAGTGAACTCGTCAACTTACGAGCACCCACTTATGCATGCCGATATCACAATACCGTTTACTGATGAGATGCAGTACACATACACTAAGTGCTAGTCTTAATGGGAAAGGCCGATATCCTCATTAGTGGCGTAACCCTTCGACTACGAACACGTTTAACAGTTATAATACTTAAGTAAATATCTCACGATCCTAACGATCAATTACTAGTACTTGTAATAACTGTAAGGACTATATCTATGCTTGTGACAAAGGGACAAAGATATAGAATGCCAAGGTGTTTTTATCATTAATACGAATAAAGGTTCGTTTATTACAATAATAAATACGAAAGACCACAGCCACATGTTGGCTTGTTGGTCACCTACTCTAACAATCTCCCACTTGACCTAAAGCCAACTACCCATAAATCGCAATCCCATCGACTCTCGATGTTTCTCATGGACCGATCTCGGTAAAGGCTTCGTGAAGGGGTCTGCAACGTTCTCTTCCGAGGTGACTCGTTCAACCTTAACTTCACCTCTATCAATGATCTCTCGGATCACGTGATACTTCCTCAGAATATGCTTCGACTTCTGATGAGATCGTGGCTCCTTAGCTTGTGCCACGGCTCCGGTGTTATCACAGTACAACGGTACTGGATCACTAGCATCAGGAATGACACCCAACTCTTGGATGAACTTCCTTATCGAAGTCCCTTCTTTTGCAGCTTCAGACGCTGCAATGTATTCCGCTTCGGTAGTGGAATCGGCCGTCGTGCTTTGCTTGGAACTCTTCCAACACACGGCACCACCATTCAGCGTGAATATAAATCCAGAATTCGACTTTGAGTCGTCCACGTCCGATTGAAAACTAGAGTCAGTGAAACCCTCTAATTTCAACTCGGCACCCCCATAGACCAAAAATATATCCTTAGTCCTTCGCAAGTACTTGAGGATATCTTTCACGGCTTTCCAGTGAGCCGGGCCGGGGTTAGACTGATATCTGCTTGTGACACTCACAGCATACGCAATATCGGGTCTCGTACATAGCATGCCATACATTATGCTTCCTATGGCAGAAGCATAGGGCGTCCTTTTCATCTCCTCGATTTCACTAGGTGTTTGGGGACACATAGATTTCGAGAGACGAACCCCATGGGACATTGGCAAGAATCCCTTCTTGGATTCTTCCATGCTAAACCGTTTCATAACGGTGTCTATGTACAGGCTTTGGGATAAGCCAAGCATCTTTCTTGCTCTATCTCTATAGATGCGTATTCCCAATACATAAGATGCTTCTCCCAAATCCTTCATTGAGAAACGTGTGGACAACCATGCTTTCGTTTGCTGTAACATTCCTACGTCATTCCCAATGAGTAGAATGTCATCAACGTAAAGCACTAGAAATATTACTGCCCTCCCACTAACCTTCTTGTATACACAAGGTTCCTCCGGATTCTTCTCAAAATCAAACTCTTTGATAGTTGAGTCGAACCTAATGTTCCAACTTCGGGATGCTTGTTTCAATCCATAAATGGATCGCTGGAGCTTGCAAACCTTTTGCTCACTTCCAGAAGATATGAAGCCTTCCGGCTGCGCCATGTAAATTTCTTCATCAATATCTCCATTAAGGAAGGCGGTCTTCACATCCATTTGCCATATCTCGTAGTCGTACCACGCAGCTATGGCCAGCAAAATCCTAATGGACTTCAGCATCGCGACTGGCGAAAAGGTTTCCTCATAGTCAACGCCTTGCCTTTGAGTGTATCCTTTTGCTACCAATCTAGCTTTGTAGGTCGATACCTTTCCATCAACTCCAATTTTCTTCTTATAGATCCACT